TGGACAGTCTGATTTTTCAGAGCTTATCCCGATCCACCCGGAATCTGTCAGACGATGGACGTTGCATAGCTTGTGTTAGGTCTTCCCTGTCTCTCTTCATGACTATTCTTACCCATGTAACTGTCAGCTTGGAGAATCTCGTTTTAGGTACTGGCTGGTTTCCTCCCTGCCTGCTAACAAAGTGCTACAATCGATGAGCTACATATATAAATAGAAATCATTAAGTGAATTTACTCTCATAACTAGAAAACATGAATTGTTCCAAGATTATCTTCTCCAGTTCTCTTTGTTTTTCAGGCAAGGAATAGCTAGAGATTTATTTCACAAACTATTACTCCCTCAAAGAATTCTATTAGCAAATATAACAACTTGGGGACATAAGCCTTCTTAACGTACATTTGGGATCCATAGTTCTTGTTTTGTTAGATTAGGGTTATCCTCATGATAACCAGTGACCATGGTCTCTCCCATTCCCAGGAAGTTTGTTTGCCTGAATGACAACATTGATCATAATCATAAAGATGCCCAGACAGTGAAAGCTGTTCTCAGGGACTTCTATGAGTCCATGTTCCCCATACCATCTCAGTTTGAGTTGCCAAGAGAGTATCGAAACCGATTCCTGCATATGCATGAACTACAGGAATGGTAAGTTTTTATTTTTTTATGAGTGTGTGCGCGTGCATACATTTTTAGAATGATGAAACTTCTTTAATGTGGTATTCTGATTTCTTTGTAAAAATACACTTCATGTTGGGAGTGTTTATTATATTGACATTTTAGAATTATCTCCAGGGTTGGGTTTCAGACCTTGTTTCTGCTGATCTAGTATATTAATGATTCACTGATGACAGTGAGGTCATACACAGGGTAACCTGTTTGCATTCTTCTCTCTGCACAGGAGGGCATATCGGGACAAACTGAAATTTTGGACCCATTGTGTACTAGCAACATTGATTATGTTTACTATTTTCTCATTTTTTGCTGAGCAGGTAAGTTTCATGTATTTCCATGGACATAAAATAGTATTTCTTGTACATTAGAATTTGGTTCTTTTGGAAAAAGAAGTTTACAATAAGTAAATTGCTGCCTTTGGCTTATAGTTCATATGTCAGTCTTTCAAAATATTTAGCCAGCAGATATAATAACCTTTTATTCATTTGTCGTATAAGTCCAGTACCAGTGTTTTTGTTGTTGTTGTGTTTAACTTGGAACTCAGTAGGTTAACTTGCAGACTTTAAAACTGAAAAGCTTCAAAGGATAAACCCTTCATCTGTGGCATTTGTCTGCAGAGGACAGTAATCTGGGAGGATGAGAACAGAGGAGGAAAATAAACCCCCTGTCCTCTCTGCCACCCTATTTATTCTCTACTCACTTGAGTCAAATTCCTTAAACCTCCACGGCTGTTAAACTCCCCGCTCTTCCCGTTACACACCCTGCTCACCATCCAGACATCATGGCGATGAATGTTTGGGCAGGACTCTGCTTCCACCTCAAGACCAACTAGTGTCAGTGGGTACCCAAACTAAAACCATGAAGAACACATTTGTTTTTTTTCTCATTGAAACTTTATTATGATGGTGGTCAGGTTTTCTATTGAGATATAGCATGGGTAAACTCTTTCTATGAGAAAGAAATGTTGAAGTTCTAAACTACTGTTTTACAAATAAACTTTATTACAACCTATTTACAAATTGGGCATGGGCGGAATGGTGATAGGATTTTAATATAGGTGGTTGTGTTTTTTATTTTAAAGAATTCTATATTACATATATAGTCTTTTTCTTTTTAAAGATTTATTTATTTATGCATACAAGAACTGGGGTACAAGCCAGAGATGCAGGCGGTGAGAGGACTCACCAGAGAGATTGGGGAGCAGAGCAGGCAAATACACTGCTGAGGAGAGCAGGGGCAAGACAGGTCTGCTGCACCGTGTGGGTCACCTCCCTGACCAGGGATCGAACTCATGCTGCAGTGGCTATAGACAGCTTTGTAGTGCTGCGACTTAACCCCATGTGCCACCAGGGAGACCCTATTTTCAAACCCAGACAGTGCCTTATGGCTGTACAGAGCCAGTTTCCTTCAACAGAAAGACTTGACAAACAGACATCTTGAAAAAAGAAAAATGCTTAGTGATGACTGGAAATCTGTAGCTCATTGGTCTTTTTAAAAAATGAAGTTTGGGGCCCTCCCTGGTGGCGCAGCGGGTTAAAGCACAGCACTAAGAAGCTAAAGCCACTTCTGCATGAGTTCGATTCCCGCCTGCCCCGGAGGTGACCACATGCCGTGGCAGATCTCTCCTGACCCACCCGCTGCTCCCCTCAGCAGTGTACTTCAATGATCTGCCTGTTCTCCCCACTCTGTCTGTGGTGAAGCCTCTCACCACCCCTGCATCTCTGGCCTCTACCCCAGTTTTGTATGCATAAATAAATAAATCTTAAAAAAAAATGAAGTTTGGGCCAAAATAATTTTAATCCTGGTGAGTTTAGCTCTCTGATGGGCACCTGTCTAGGCTCACTGATCCCACAAAGCCAAACAAAATTAGTGTTGGTTTTGTTTGGGGGAAGGGATGATGAAGACGTGTTTGCTGTCTGTTTTTTGTTTTTTGTTTTGTTTTCATTCTGTAATGCTATGGAAATGATTGAGGTCATAGGAAACTCAGAAAGTTTATTGTACTTGCAGTCTTTCACCAATACAGAGCCTTAAGATTAATTTTCTGACTGTCACTGTTTAGTTAATTGCACTTAAGCGGAAGCTATTTCCCAGAAGGAGGATACAGATGGAAGCTAGTCCTGATCGAATCAGGGTATAGAAGATCTTCATTTGAGAATCATCTACCTCAGCATTCACTGAGCATTTTAAAACTCAGCATCACACGGATAATGTGATGCTCAGCCAGCTTGGTCTGAAGAAGAGACATCCAGTCCAGCGCTCGTATTGGGCGTGAATATGGCACACTGAGCAGGAACTGTTTAGCCGACACACTGAAGACTTGTACGTTGAGCAGCTGTGAACTGGTTTTTCACTTAAAGCATTTACTCATGGGCCTGCCATTCTTTTCATGAAAAGACTCACCGCTGAGAGTGGCCGCTTTCGTCCCTTACCCCTACCGTTACCAGCTAACTTGAATCTGCGAGGCCCATGCCAACTTGGGAGTACTTGCTAATGCCCTGGCTTTGCATTCCCAGGCCCTCTGCTTGTTTTTACACTTGTTTTTCTTTTTCCCATTTCTCATTTTAAAAGTAGTTACTAAGTTAATTGAAAAGAGTGAATTGGGATGTCTAAACATATTTTTATCGCTGTTATTTAGTAACACAGCAATATCTCTTATTGGCCTTATCTAAATTATGAATCTTATTAATGTTTTAAACCACTTACAACAACTGACAAGCTCCATGACTGACTTCTGAAGTACTACGCTGTGCTTGTTTACTTTCAGCCCTAAGGATACTGTGATTCCTGTGGAGGCCTCATTATAAAGGACTAGGGTTGAGTAGCGCAGCTGCTTTCCGGATGTCACTATGTTTTGGAACTGTACATGTGCAAACAGAAGTGCCTCCCTTCAGAAATGAGAGTGCTGGGGTACACTTACACTTACCAGTATAGCCCGGTAATGCTCTCTCCCCTCAGTTTCATAGAATGCACAGGGGTCAGCAAACTTTTTTTTCTGAAAAGAGCCACACAGTAAGTATTCAGTAGCCCTTTAAAAATGTTAAGACCGTGTTTAGCTGCAGCTGTATGTACAAAGGCAGAAGTCTAGCTGGATTTGGCCCACAGGCCAGTGTTTGCTGACCATTGAGAGCGAGAGTTAATATTTTTAAGTATCAGTAAGCCCTGATGTTCAGCCATATTTTATTTATGTCATACAGTAGATTTCTGGAGACCGTATTTCATGAGTCCTTTCTGAAAGTATTTTAGAGTATAATCTCAACAGTATTCTTTCAAAATGGCATAAATATTTTGTAAAAACGGAACTTGTAATGTAAATACTATATTTGTGCTGTAAGAGTAAATGTATTTCAAAAACTTAAGTCTCATAAAAACTTATGTTTTGTCTGATGCTGTGATTTTTAAATCTTATAGGAGTGAGCTTATTGATACTCAGATTCAGCAATCACCACTGGCTTATACCCGTGTCAGGGTCTGTGCTGAACCTATGAGAGCTGAGTGGGAAGCAGTGCACGGATAATATTCCAACATACCGGAGAATGTCATTTCAAAGGGGTAACATACATTCTAAGTGGAAGTTTTTATATGGGTTCATTTTAAAAGTGCAGAAAAGAGAAGGAAAACACTGACTACATCATCCCTTAAGGCGAACACAACCCACACCAAAGCTGGGCTCACTTATCACAAGAAAGGAAAACAGACCGATGTATCTGAAGGAATCTCAAATGAAAGTGAACCTCAAGACATCAGTTATTCCCCATACAAGCAACTCTTCATAAGCAAGCTGCGTTGCCTTTGGGCATGCAAAGTTGATCTAGTATTCGAAAACCACAATTCACATCAGCTGGACCAAAAAGATAAAGCACATGATCATCTCCAGGGACCTTTCTTTGAAATCAATTACTAGGAATTTTTAGAAGCAGGGGCTCTAGCAAATGACTTCCCATCTCCAGTAATTACCAGGATTTTGCCAAACTTTTTTGCACTATTCTTTTTATCTTTTCTTTGTTGATATAAGTATCCTCTACTCAGCAGTCAGGAACCCTTCAGTTGTTAAAGGCAGGTGAAGAGGCTTCTTCTTGGTACATCTGCACCTTCCTCCCTTTTGTCTTAACAGCTATGTCTGATAAGCACATTCTGTTTGCTAAATGCAGAAATTAATTCAGTCTGCTCAAGGAAAAATAACAGGCACAGGAGACACATACCTTGTGAAGGTTGTTAACTCCACACCACCCATGGCTATCTCGCTGTGTCAGCTTTTCTTCCCTTGTTGGGGGGAGGTGAGCTCCTGACTCACACCTCCAGAGAGGAAGGAAGCTCCCTTTCTAACTCTAATACAGAAAATGTGGAGTGGAGATTTTTTTTTTTTTATCAAAAGGAGGGGAGGGATGCTCCAGCTTCACAGAATATAGATTGGGTGAAACACTGGGTTTCTTACTTAAGTTGGAGCAAGCTGTCATACGAGAAAGCAATTGCAAGAGTGAACTCTGCTCATTACAATGACGCAAACTCTTACATGGTTTTCATTACTGAAGGATTCAAATCAAACAAGAGTACAGGACCTATAATAGGTGCTCCATGAATGGTTCACAGTCATGGTTATTGTGGTTCTCAATGGGTCCCAAATTATTTTTCTGAGTTTCCTTCTTCTTTTCCTCCCCGGCCAGTCTCACCTCTGGCCACACACTGCCAGCCACATCACACTTGCCCAGAGGTACTGTGCATTTTTAATACCGCTACACCTTGCTGATGCTTGTCATGATGCTTGGTCTGTCTTCCCCTTCCTTATCTATTTGTTAAACACCTACTTCCATCTCAAGAGCCTCAGTTCTTTGAGATCATAAGAAAGGTAAGAATGTAGCAAAGGTTTTAAAGAACCATGACAAGATGCTACATCGCTAGTTACTAAGCAAAATGAGAAAATACTGTCAGGAATCCAGATAATTAGAGTAAGTGGAAGATGATCTATAAGAAGCAATGTCAGTGTGATTTCCTAGAACACAAACTTCAGTAAGGCAGTTTGAAAGGCTAGTCAATAAAATTCTAAATCTCTTGGTTAGATCAAAGGGTTAAAACATAGTGAAATGCAAACACAAACCCCCCCATTAAGTTGGTAGTAAACTTAAGCAGATACAAAGCTCAAAATGTATTTTTAAATTATTTGGGGGGAAATACATAAATGCAAAGAAAAAATAGAAGGAAATAACACTTCCAATTGAAAAGTACATGTTTTCATAGTGATATAATGAGTAAATTTCATTTCCTTCATAAATCATTTAAAAATTTTAAATGTGTACTCACTTTTGTAACTATAACAATTTAATACTAAATATTAGGTAGACTCAATGACCCATTTTTAATTTTTAGTTTAAAACAGAATGCTTTCTATTAACTTTGAAAGTCCATTAAAAGCCCATTAAGTTCCATTATAAAAGACTTCATATGAAGAAACAGTCATTTAAATTCTTGTATTTTCATTTAGTTGGATGGGAATTAAAATTTGAAACTTGAATGCAAATGCATTCTCATTTAGAACTAGAAAAATAAAACGACACAATCTAGTCTTGCTTATTCATGGGGAGGGTCACTCATTCACATCCCTTGTTCCTTATTGTCTAATTTTTCACCCACTTCCTAACATTGAAAAAGTAAGCCAATGGCATTATTAAGTCAACAGATGGAGATGTTGAGCTACCCTAGTGGGATAAAATAGGTAGGTCGTGAGAATAGCCCTGAGCATCTTCAAAATGCAAATTCCCAGCCCCCAGCACAGAATTCTCTACAACCAAAAAGTATAACAAAAACTTTAGTCTTGCCTGTGATGGAGAAGTATGAAAAAAGGCCTTAAAGACATGCCATTTTACATCCAAGAGTGGCAAAATCAAGAAATAGGACTACACCAAGAGATAACTAGTACATTCAACAATATTCAACAAAAGTGTCGGGTAAATGAATAAATTAAACTTTTAACATATCAGCTTCTCTGACTATCACCTGTGGCCTTGATTGTGCAAATGCAGGAGGCACTGGGGAGCATGGGCTCAAGGGCCTCATGCCTGACAGTGGACACCTGGAGTAGGATATGGGCATGTATAAATGGGCACACCTGGGCCTGGAGGTTGAGGCTATAAGAGCGGTGTTACATGGGGCAGCAAAGGCCGAAGGGCTCGAGAGGCTGAGTGATTACAGAGAGGTGGGACCACTGAGCAACGGCTGCAGGAGAGAGCCCAAAGAGGCAGAGTAAGGATTCTCAGGGGGTTAGGATTCCCAGTGGGCTAGAAGACCTGTGATACATCCTGGCCCCTGGCACCCCTGCTCACCCTGCACCGAGTTGCCCTACTACAATGGGAATGAACTCTGCATGGCTGTATAAATTGGTATAACTCTCTTAGCTTAGCTACTTCACAGCTAGCTACTCTGTAAAAACTTTGGTATATATGCATAAGATTAGAGTATTCCAGCAGCACTGTTCATATAGGCTACAATCTGAAAATAACCTATATATCCAAGGACAAAGATATCAGCGCGGTATGTGTGGGGAGTACTATACAGCAGGAAAAAGTAAGTATAGCCACTTGTATGATAGATTCTCTTAGCAACAACCTGGTGAATAAAAAAATGGGTGGCAAAACACCATGTAGGGTATGGCACAAAACTAAGCAATGTTTCTTTTAAGAACCCAGGTTAGTTCACACATTTTGATAGCATGTTCATCATATTTCATAATTTATTATTTTGCAACTTTCAAATATTATTTTTCAAATTGAAAGTAAGTCAGGAAAAGAAACTACACAGACCACGCTAACAACCGCACCTGGATGCAGCCACACGTGTCCCACATTAGCCTCCAGCAGCAGTAGCGGTGGGGGGGGGGGTGGAGCTCCGCTTGCTGCTATGCGCTTGCGCGTGAGCCCAGCCAATCAGCAGCGTGCTGGGGGAGGTGGGGTTGGTTTTCCTGCCTGACGAAGACCGAGCACCTCAGACGAGCGAGCGTCGAAGGCCCTAGAAGCCACATCTTCTGGTGAGAAGCTGGAGTGGAGGCGGGGCGTGGCAGACCCTTAACTGTGGTCTCGACTTTTGGGTTGTTTAATCTTTTTATTTTTCCGGGTGGGATTATTTTTTTTAGGCAGTTGTGGGGTGAGTGAAACCAGGCTGCATTCACTCTCGACTCCTGAGGTAAATCTCCACCGAGTGGTAGCTGACAGGAAAATGGGGCCTGTGGGCCTGGAGTGGCAGGCCGGGCCTGCGCTGGGCATGTGGAAGGCGGCTCGCGCGGACTAGGGGTGGGGGTGAAGGGGAAAGGGGGGGCGCGTTGGTGGGGCTCTCCATCCTCCCCCATCCTGTGAGTGACCCAGGGCCCCTCTCAGGTGTTCTGGCGGCTGCGCAGGCCGCGTGACGGTTGCGTTTTTCGTGCCCCTTTTGACGCCTGTGTTGTGGGCCGCTGTTGTGGGCCTGTGGGCGCCCCTCCTGCCCTCGCCAAGTCATCAGGGGCTCCAGGGCGGGCCAGAACCCGGCCTGGGCAGAGTGGGCACACGCAGGCTCTGGGCCCTCGTGCCTGTGGGGTGGTGTGGGGGGAGGGGGAGGCGGGGAAGGCAGAGGGGGTAGGCTGGAGCTATTAGGGGAGAAGAGGGGAGGCTGGGGAGGGGGGCTAATGGGGAGGGGGGCTGATGGGGGAGGAGAGGAGGGGAGATGGGGGAGGGGCAGGCTGGGGCTGGGCGCGACTGCGACTGCGCGTGTGTTGTGGCCGCTACCGCTGCCCAGTGTTGGCCCACTCCGCGGGTCCGTCGAAGCCACCGCTTGTTTAAGAGGCGACCCTGCGGTCAGGGGCGTTGAGAGGTTTATTTTCCAGTCAGAGGCATCTAGCCATGGTGCCGGCAGGGCGGAAGCACTCCTCGGGAAGGCCCGGGAAGGCCCTGGAGGGGCAGGCCGCGAGGGCCTTCGACTTCCAAAGGGAGGAGCGGAAAGGGCTGAGCTATGTGGAGGAGGATGCCTCGCAAGGTAAATGGAGGGGTGCGGGGGTGGGGGGCGCGGGCCCTGCCCTTCTTCCTCCAGGAGCATCTGCTCTTTTAAGCTGTGATCAAGTCGTGTTGGGGACCCGCGCCCCTCGGCTTTGCTTTCTTGGAATGTGCCTGCTGCCTTTGTGGGCCTTCCTTGTACTCCTGCTGCCAAATAGTGTGTGACCGTGACGCTGACCTGGAACTTAGTGGGCATCCTGACCGATTCACTAACGCACTGCAAGCGCGGTGTTTTTTTTTCATGTGTGCTTGAAAAACGTAGACGCCAGAAGCCCCTCAAAATGAAGCTGTAATCCCACTGAAAATGATTCGAATAGCGTCCTTAATTTAAAAAATGTTTTGCTGTTATTGTCGATGCAGGGAAGATTTCAATAATTGAGAAGCATGGGAAGAAAAGGACTTCTGCTGGAATAGTTGAAGAAATGGGGTAATGTGCTCAAATTGACCTTTTCTTGTGTTGTGTGTCGTTAAATGAAATGCTTTAGGAAGTGCTTGCTTTGGTAGCCATCGAAAATTGTGTGCGAAATACTAGGGGATAGGCCTCCCCTCAAAAGCGTTATATTTTATGGGTCCTTAATTAAGTTTTTTAATATGATTTTCTCCTAGGGGTGAAGTGCAGACTATGCTGGAAAGATTTGGAGGTATGTCTGAGAAGCTATTTGTATTTCAATAAAATTGCTTTAAAGTCTAAACTTGTGTAGTAGGAAATGTTAATCAGTGGGCTAGAAGATTGCTGGCTAATGTTTTTCTCTTGTATGTGACTGAACATATGTGGTTCAGTTGCCTGGATGTCCTTAACCTTTTCTGATTAAGGTGGGGAGGGAGAGTGCTGCTAATGACAAGCTAAGAATGGTGCTTTATTTTATACATGTATGAATTTAGCAGACTGAAAGTTTTAAAAAATGATGGAATTGTCTCCTGTGTGGACTCTTCCCAGACTGAGTGGTACAAATAACACCTATCTGTATGTACGTCAGTTTATTTTCTCAATTCAGTTATTTCACATTATTAATCTATGTAGTTAAGGTTAAGGACAGTTTTGCTATTTAGTATGATGTATAATCAGACAAAAAATTCACTTTTTAAATATGTCATATCAGGTACATCAACAGTGTTTCGGGAATATACTTTTAAAAAGTTAGTATTCCACCTGAAAGGATTAGTCTGTCAAGTCTTGAGAATGGCTTTTTTGTGACAAAATGGTTGCCTTATAAATGTATTATTTTATATATTGAAAACTAGAATAGTTATGGCCCTCCCTAGTGGCGCAGTGGTTTAGGACACGCATTGCAAGCTAGCTGCAGCTGCTTCAGTGCTAGTTGGATCCCAGCCCTGGAGGTGACCAACCACATGGCACAGCAGACCTCTCCTGACCAGTGCACTGCTCCCCTCAGCAGTGTACTTCATTGATCAGCCTGTTCTCCCCACTCTGCCTCTGGTGAATCCTCTCACCACTCCTGCACCTCTGGCCTGTACCCCAGTTCTATATGCATAAATAATAAATATTAAAGTATATATATTTACATAATAGTGCAATTGTTATGATTGTTGCAAAGTAATTACTGATGATAGATCAATATGCATCTGGTATTTGAATATTTTAAATATTCAAATATTAAATATTAATATTTCAAATATTAAAAATTTTGGGAACTATGTTATAAGGGTAAAGTGGCTTGTCACAAGCTCAATACAAGTGTTTATAAGTTCCTGACTTCATTATGTAGTTAAGATTTTTCTATGATTAGCAAAAAATTGAGAATATCATATTTAAAAAATTTTTCTTTTGCCATTTTTGATGTTTGAAAATAGGATAGTTTCATGGTTCATGAGTCCTAATGAGAATTAATCTGTTGGAGAATATCATCTATATTTTAAGAATTTTAGTCTTTATTAGAATTTCACATGAGGAAATTGGAAGACATGTTTCATTTTGTAGCTCTTTTTAATCATTTCTAAATATCTCTGGGTAATCAGCACTGGATACTAAACAACAAAGTTTTCTTAGGAAAAACAATAATTGTGTTTTGTGGTACTTAGTAACAGTACCTTTGCTTTTTAGTATTTTAAATGTTTTTCAAAAATTCTTGAACTTTATATCAATATTTATTTGAAAATGTGGAAACAAAATAATTGTCTTCAACATTTAAGTTTAAGGAATGTTTGTTTTAAATATAGTTGACATAAACAAGGCTCTTCTTGCTAAGAGAAAGAGACTTGAATTGTATACCAAGGCTTCTATCAAAACCAGTAACCAGAAAATTGAGCAAGTTTGGAAAACTCAACAAGAGCAAAGGTAAGGTTGGGTTTTTTTCACAGCCACAACATATGTATTACTTTGTAGTAGTCATTTGTACAAATTACTTAAAAAATACTTTCATATTCTTTGTTGGGGATATAGGTAGTAAAAAATATATTTGTCTTGGGAGCCTCCCTGGTGACTTACGGGTTAAATCTCAGTGTGATCATGCTATCACTACTGTGGCCTGAATATGATCCCCAGCCAGGCAGATAGCCCACTTGGCCAGCAGATCTCTCCTGTGTAATGTAATATGTAAATAAATACATAAATAAATACATACTTTAAAAACACAGCTACGTACGTGTTTTTAAAAAGGCATATGTCTTCATTTTTCTCTAAATAAATGAATTCTTTAGTTTTGTAACCACTTCTTTATAGATTTGAAATATATTCAAGAAATACACTGGTTGAATAAAACGTCATAAAAACCTTTAATGTTCTGATAATTGTTTTAGCAGTGTAGAAAAAAATAAGTTTTATATTGCAATAATTTGTATATTTCAGGTTAATTCTTTTATATAAAATCATTGTGCCAGAATGGGGGAAAAACTAAATGACATAACTCTGGAAATCTTACAATTTCATTTGATCTATCATAATCGGAACTTACATTCAGTGGAAGAAAATAAAAAGCTTGGAGATTAGATTTCCAGAAAGGTCCAGTTTTATCTATAAATAAAACATTTTCTAGAACTAGAGCTAAAGCATGTAAGAGGGCATGTTTTATTTGTTGATATGAAAGTACTCATTGTTTTGCAGGCAGAAGCTTAGCCAAGACTTCTCTCAGCAGTTTCTGACCTTGTTTCAGCAATGGGATTTGGATGTGCAGAAAGCTGAAGAACAAGAAGAAAAACTAGCTGTTAGTGTCACTTTTGTTTATTATTAAAATTTGTAACTACGTATCAAATCGGAGTAGAGCCTAGCCTTACAGCATATCAATGGAGCTCATCCTGGTTTCATTATGCATTGCTAGCTATGTGTTTTGGTGCTGCTGAATTTTGAAACAGAAGTACAAACACAATATTCCTAAAATCTGTTGGCCGTTGCTTCCTATATTGTGGCAGCAAGTGACAGAAGATTTTTAAAGTACCCAAGGAGGATTGTTAGTTAATATAAAAGTACAAGGGGTTGTAGTTTAGCTTCAGTCATAGCTTAATGGAATAGGGAAGGATTGCTCATGTAGTATCTTCTGACGTTTTTCCAGTTCTTAGACTTTCTCAGTATAGGAAGCAAGAAAGTTTCTTGTAATCCTAGAATTGCAAGTTTAGTAACCCCAGGTGTTGGAATAGTCTTTTTTAATAGTAGAAAAAGTCTTCTGAGAGTAGTGTTCATCTAGTTTGATTCATTTGCCCATTTCTGATCCAGGCATAATCACAACATGGTGTGGTCTCAGTGACTTGTTACCTGTCGTCCATCTTTATGGTAAATGGAAGTCAGCTCTTGTATTACATATAACTACATTGTTTGCAAAATTATTATACATTTTTTATCTAAGAGTTAAAGTAATGTTCATATAACTTTAGGGGTTTGTTGTTTAGCTTAAGTTTAAAAATATTACAGATGCACATGAAATATCCTAGAGGTGGGCCCCTGGTGTCTAAATCTGCAGTTCAGTATGGGTTGAACTTACAAAGTTGGGAGTACTCAATGTAAAGACAGTATTTAAGCCATGAAATTTGGTGACATCACCAGGGTGTGACTGTAAATATGAGAGAAGTCTTAAGAAGCTGGAGTATTTCATTTATAGTTCAGCATTTCAGAAGATAAGAACCACTAAGGAAGACTGAGAACTGAGTAGCCTAATAGTGTAAAGAAAATCACCTTAGTGAAGAAAACCATTTAATGAAAGAAGACTGATTTTTGTAATACGTTTATTAGCTTTTTCATACACTAAATAAGGTGCATTCGGCAATATGGAGGTCATTGTTCTTGATCATAATGATTTTGTTGGAATACTCAGTGCAAAAACCAGATTGGAATGAATATAAGACTGGGAAAGAAATGGGCTGCTTGCTTGAGTAGAAGAAGAATAGGGGTTTTAGCTTGTTTTCTTAAAAAAAAAAATGGAGAAAGCTATATGTTTATGTGTTGGTAGGAATAATCTTGGGTACAATTGAAGGGGAGGGAGGCAACTGCTGAATTCTTGAGACTGTACAGGACATGTGAAAAGTTGGCCTTAGCAGGAACCAAGGACAGAGCCTCCTTAAAATAGGAGAGAAAGCATACAAGCACAGATGGATATGGTTGGGTAAGTAGCTATAGTGATGGGAGGCTGAAAATTCTTTGGATTGCTTCTGTTTCCTTAGTGAAATAATTAAGCCCATCCGACAGTTGAAAAAGATGTTGCCTCTTGAGGTCAAATCAGGTGTGAAATACCGTTCTGAGAGGGCCAGTGAATGCACTAGGGAAATACAATTATCAAACAACTTTAAAGGTGGAATTCCGTTTCATTAACATAATGATCATAAACTTCAAGTGAGTGCTGTGGCTCCCCCTCCCCTACCTCCCCACCCCCCAGTTGCAGGACAGTCCAAGGGATGCAGAGTAGCCAGAGCTAGGCTTTAACATGTTTAGGGTTAAGCTAAATGAGTATAACAGAAGGAATGACAGATTCTATATGCAAAGGAGTAATTTAATGAGTGGCCACAAAATTTAAGCTGGGAAAGAGAAAAGTGAGGATATGGGACAAAGGATAAGGTTCAGTGTACAGTATGCAAGATGAGTGCATTTTAGGTCTTGATATGGGATGAAGAACTTTGAAGCGAATGAGCTAGAATGGTAGGGTAGTAGTGGTTGAATAGTGGAATATATGGAGAAATAGTATAAAATAATGGTTGTGAATTCTGTTTAGAATCATTTGGTTTTACCAAAGGCTAGCTGTGAAACTATGGACACATTTGTCTTTATGCAGTTTCCTCATCAGTAAAAAGGGTAGAATAAGAGTGTCTTTCACATAATTGTTTTGAGGAGTAAATGGCTTCATGTGTAAGTTTAACAGTTCAAGATAGTATCTAACATGAAGTTAATGTGCAGTTTGCCTTTAATACTATATTAGGACTGTAGTTAATGGTAATGACAAATTCCAGGGTATGAGTAAGTGAATCACCACCAGCATGATGAACAAAAACCATTGGTCTTAAGGTAAGCCAAGGAACTGAAAGGCTAGCATTATTGAAGGATCACCTCTGTTGATAGTGAAAGCACCACAAATGAAGAGATATTTTAAGATTTCCTACCAATGACAGGTCATTTTGTTGTATATTAATGGTATACAGGCTATCTGAAATAGATCATAATAGTTAAAATTTTTATATTTTAAATTTATTCATTTTAAGTTTAATGTAGAATTTTTTTTTGCTAAACTAAAAAATTTACTAAAATTTTTATTGCATGACTTTTTCTTTGTAGAATATATTTCGACAGCAACAGAAGATTTTTCAGCAATCTAGAGTTGTTCAGAGCCAAAGACTGAAAACAATTAGACAATTATATGAGCAGTTCATGAAGGTTAGTTGTATTTGGTAACACCATTTCTTAAGCAAGCTTTATATGTGGAAGTAAAATAGTTTTTTTTCTTTCCAAGTTAAAAAAAATTTAATTCTTCATTCCATTTTGAATTTTAAGTGCAAAATTTTTTACTGTAGTGTTTTTACTGTTTATGGGGATTATTCAAAAAGAAATGGCAAACTTAAGAATTTTACTTGAAAATGTACATGTTGTACATAAAAATCATACTTCACTAACACATTAGCAATAGGTCTCTGTTCAACTGAAAAAATGGACCCAAAAATCATTTCTAAACAGATTTTTTTACCCCCCCAGTTTAAGTAGAAAGTAGCCAATTTAAATTGATGAATCTTTTATTTTTTAATATATTACATATGTATTTTATGGCACATTTGCTTTTAGAACTCTTACAGCTCACAAAAAGGGTTCTATATACAAATTTAGAATCCTAAGAGTTGGCCCAGACATACATAGAATGAAAAGGCCAGCAATGGGTTAAAAGTTTGTTGACTGAGAATTAATGACACACACAACTTGTGGTATGTGGCATTGAACTCATGCAAATATATATTTAATTCTTGGTAACTATTAATAGGAGGGAGCTCATTGAGATCTTGCTGCATATATATATATATTTCCCTTCAGAGTAGGGGGTTCTTTTAGATAATGCTCAAATACACATTAAAATGTCACACTTTAAAAGAAACTGTGCTGTGAGTAAAGTAGTAACCACATTTTAAAATGTAGTTTTAAATAACTTTAAAACCATTTAACTGGTGTGAAGGTTTGGTAAAGATTTTTTCTAAGTGTTTCTACTTAGGGTAAGGGGTTTTAGTTTATATTTGACCCCTCCATCTCTTACTGTTAATAGACCTTGTGATTTTTACTTCCAAGATTCTTTTTAATTCATTGCTTCTCATCACTCTTTTGCTTATACTACTAAAACTCATGTGCTTTTTTTCCTCCCATACCCTCATTATATGCTTGTCATATTATCTTCCTAAAACTTTAACATCCTCTTGAAAAACTCAGTAGCTTCTCATTCTTAATTCCTAGTCATAATCTTGACCCTCAATTTTAAGGTTCATGTACTACATTAGTCCATTACTCTTATCCTGCCACATTGTTGCTTCTCTGAACTCACTATGCATTTTCATGCTTTTGCTTGTTTGTCCTCTAGTACAATCTTATTTTTCCTTTTGAAATATTTTGCCACTAAATTGGACTTTATCCCCATTTTCTACCACATAGCCAGAATAAGTTACATTTGCATTCCTACTACAAAAATTTGTGCCTCGGTTTCTGGAATAGTGATCATGTATTGTTTTTTAATTCCTCCATAGCACTTAATACAGTATTTACAGAGTAAGCACTAGGATTACTACTATTTAGCAGGATTTGTAAAGATTTATAACTTTTGCTGTTCATAAATTAAAGTCCCTCTAATGAATTTATAGGCTTAGTTAAAAGTGGGTTGTTTACAGCCTGCTAATTAGAAAGCTTAAAGAAATTTTCAAAATTTTAATATTTGATATGGGACTTAATCTTTTAACTCATTGTTCAGAAGAAAGTACATTACTATAATACTTGATTCAGTCTGGCTTTTTATTCCTTTAGTGTGTTTTGGTTTTCATGTGTTAGATTTTTATGAAATGTACATTATTTGAATGTTAACGTTTCTACTTTTGAAAACTGTACAAATTTAAAAACAGATGAAAAATGGTTTATAACTAAACCAATCTTTTGTGCTTTAGAGTATGGAGGAGTTAGAGAAGAATCATGAGAATCTACTTACTGGTGCACAAAATGAACTTAGAAAAGAAATGGCTATGTTGCAAAAAAAAATTATGATGGAAACTGTAAGTTAAAGTTAAAAAAATGATTAATGTAAGCAATGAAATATTTTATTTGCTGAATGTCTGAACACTTATCTAAATTTATTAAGCATGTTTATTATCTCTCCTTTCATGTGACAGCAGCAGCAAGAGATGGCAAGTGTTCGAAAATCTCTTCAATCCATGTTATTCTGATGACTCTTTGAAGGAAGAACTTGAACCTAAGTAATATAATTATAACATTAGCTAAGATGCATATAAGTCTTTAGATGGTTTAAAAATTCAAGTTTAAATTGCATACTGTTACTAGCTTTAGTATAGACTTGTTAATTTCAGATAAAACCTTAGTGATTAGCAACAATTCCTGAATAACCTGTGTACCAGACTTTAAGCTTTTTATAGTAACTGAGTCTTTCTAACATTTATTACTTAGATTTCAATAAAAAATGTTTCAAGTTTTAGTTTCTGTGCATCAGTTCCAAAAGGTAGAAACCACAAAAACAGGCTATATTGTTCCAAAAAAAAGTCGAGTTTATGTGTATATATCCTTTCACGATATACTATTAATTGTAATGAAAATAAGATTTTATTAAAAGCAAGTTAAGCTTGTTTTAGAGGAAATTAAACTGCTAATTGCCATTAAGATACATGAATATCAGTTTTAAGACATGAATGGCCCACAATTAAATGACATTCTTTTAAATGATTGAAAGTATATCATTAACATACCTAAACATAGCTAATTATATTTTAAGTGCTTCACATTCATATGTCTTTAAAGGTACCTGACCTAGAATGTTTGTCATTTCCAACTTAGTTACTAATTCTTACACCTTTTAAAGTGTACATTTTTTGAAACATGGTATTGAAACACTTGATTTAATTATTTCAGCATTTTTAGTAAGTCAGACTTTACAATATTTTCATGTAAGTATTTAAGAAATACCAGCTCTTTTCTTGCTTAAAATAGACATAGGACATGTACAGTAGATAAGACCAGAGTCTAAGGATTTGGATCATTAAGCTTATGGTAGTTAAGAGTCAATACAGTATATGATATACTTAGTAGGGGAATAACTGATACTTAGTTTTCATTCCCTTTTTGCTTCATATAAAAATTTATTCTACATACTTGAAATAACTTTTACTTGATTATTCTGAAGGGATGATATTTTTGCCATATTTTTTATATGGTTGATTTTCTTATCTTGAATATCTCCTTTTGTGACAATGAAATTTTAACAGATTTTCAAGAACAGGTTACCCTCACTATAAAGATTCATTTGGTTGTTTCTTGAACTGCTAAGATAAATTCCTTTTAGTAAATTGCTAAATCAAGTATTTCCTTGTATAATGTACCTTTTTTAAAAAAATGGGTTATCACTTAATATGTAGCAATTTAAGCAAGCATCATACTTATGTTGGATAAAATCCTTTAAATCGTGAATCTTATCCTTTGGCAGTGAAAACCCATGTATGATAGGGGTTTGAGATAGAGTACTTTTAGGACAATCATAGTTCATTTTCTTATGTTCAGAAAACAGATTTCTCTTTGGTTTTGATTATAACTTACAGTAGTCTAACATACCTGTGATTAAAAATGTTGATGTTAACATAATGAGGACTTCAGTTGAAATAAGGATAATGAAATGTGCAAGACTTAATGTCTTATACACAAATACAACCTTATTTGATAGGGGGATTTCCTTCACTCATGGGTTCACCTAACTGCTTCTCCTTGGGCTATTAGTCAATATGCTTGTGAACCTGTTCAGGTGCTTGATGACACGAAGTCTTGAAGATACTTAGATGAAGGTGTCTTGAAATTTGTAGGCACAAAGCACTAAAGTACATCGTCATATCAAATGAAGAAATGACCTTTGGAAATAAAAAACAAAATGAATTGTGGTCTCTTCTGAAGCAGCAGCTATTTTTCTCTTAACCTGAAATTCTCTATAGAAATCAGTACTTATGTTTGGACTTCACTATTGATTTCTAGAACATAGAGTATTTTGTAGCTATAGAAGCTGAGGCTCAGCAGTAAAGACCTAAACTAAAGTAGGAAAGTTGAAAGATAACTCAAGTTTTCTGACTAAATTTTTCAACTTTCTGCTCTGTAACAAATTTCTACTAGAAAGGTATAGTAGTTATAGTAAAATTCCATAATATACATTTTATCCCTTTAAGGTAAGTTGTATGAAAGGCCTGAAGAAGATAGCAGGGGAAAATGCTTTCTTTCAGAAAAAGGAGCTTCAGGGTTTCTGCCTGAGGAGAGGGCAATTTCTCATTCATGCGGGTAAAGCTCTACCCAACCCTAAAGGGTTATATTTCTTTAGAAATGTTTTCCTAAGGATGCCAAAGGACACGTGTTTTATTTTAAACTGGTCTACATAGTGTTTTAAGAAGAACTGAACTTGACTTCCTCACTGTAAACCACTAGTATAAATGAGGTCAACTTCCTACAGAATAGGTGCTAGAATTTTTAACTCCTGACACTACATTAAACACATCAAAGGATTCACCAGAGACAGAATAGTAGCAGAACAGGTGTTTATGGGGAGCAATGGTTGAGCTAGTGGTTCAGTTCCCAGGCTGGGGATGCTATAGTGCCGATAGTGCTGAGTGAGAGAACCCCTTGGCCACCAGGGAAGCCCCTCCAAAAAAGCTAAATTTGAGAATTACATTTGAAGATCTCAAGTAATATGTAAGTTCACTCAAAAATCCTATAGTGATATCTTTAAATGCTATCAGTTCTGTCTCATAAATCCACTCATCCCCCACACTTGGCCTATACCCTAGTTATAGGTAAAAAAAAAATTGGAGGCCCTCCCTGATGGCACAGCGGGTTAAAGCACTACACTAAGAAGCTTAAGCCACTTTTGCATGAGTTCGATCCCACCTGCCCTGGATGAGATCCACATGGCATGGCAGACCTCTCCTGGCCCGCCTGCTGCTCCCCTCAGCAGTGTACTTCCTCGATCTGCCTGTTCTGCTCCCCACTCTGTCCCTGGTGAATCCTCTCACCCTCCGCATCTCTGGCCTGTACCCCAGTTCTGTGTGAATAAATAAATCTTAAAAAGAAAATTGGGTTTTTTTTTTAAACATTTCTATACTATTTGCAGTACATAGCGAATTATTGTGACTTTCAGACACTTTAGGTTATTGCCTGTAAAATTTAAGGATTATATCATCACCATTTGAAGAATGAGAAACTTTGGAATGGACATTAAGTTACTAGTATTAAAACCTAGTAATACAAAGAATCATCAGGCAAATCCCAGTCAACTATGCACAAAATGATTAGAAGTTTAAAGTGGCTATATTTAACAAGTCAGGGTGACTCGAATTACCAAAAGATTTGCTGTAGTATAGATCACTAACAGTTGGGTCACTATGGTATAGAGGTAAGGAAAAATAAAGCAAACCTGTTGAGGACCACCATCACTTGAAGACCAACCACAAAGATTTTATGTCTCAATAAAAAGATTGATAATGCTTGTTTTGTCTGCTTTGGCGATTATTACCAACTATTTTCTTTTAGGTACCTACCTTTATATTTTAAAATCATCCTGAGCACTGCTATTTGTGTTGGCACATCACATCCTTTAGCAAAAGGTCATCAATGAGAATTTAATCTTTACTTGGTGAGTCATTAGTGAGTCCACTAATTATTAACTTCAACTAAGCACTCTTCTCAAGGGCCAACAGATATAAAGGTTTGCTTATTCTAGCACAAAATGGTCCAAGAATCCTATACTTAGCAGCACTATTTTCATTTTGTCAATATTAACTGATAGTTCCTGAGGTAGTATGTATCCACCTTTGTTAACCTCTGTTACTGCTGCAAACTCAAAATAATCTCAAGTTAAAATCGGACACTTAAAAGTAACGCTTTGAGCAGATTTTTGACATTATTTTTGAGGGAGAAGTATCTTTAAGATATGCAGGTAAGTTTTTAGGGATTTAAAAACTGAAGCTTGATCTCCAGATAAGTAGGCTATTGTAAGTAAAAAATTGGTAATAAAGTAATTTTAAATATTCAGACATTACTGTACAGAACAGGTATTGAAGCTCCTTGATAGCACGTGTTACCTAACACCCACTAGTAAAAATCTTGTCAGAAAACTTACCATTGCTATCCATAGAACAACATACTCGTCTACAAAGTTATTAAAATACTGGTCTAAAAATAAAAGACCAGGGCCAAGAAAGACAGTGTCTTGAAGATAAAGTTCACTTTTGGTCATGTGAGCTATCTGTAAGAAAGTAAATAAAATTTCAGCATTAAATTTTAAATGTTAACAGCTTTATTTTCAGGACAATTACATAACTAATTCACCCTAGTTAAATATAGCCTTACATTTGGTAGGGGAACACTGAATCTAAAACTCAAGATTACTGAGGAGCTTATTAAAATTTCTAATATTTAACTTCCTTGATAAAAAGTATTAAGGATATGGCCCTCCCTGATGGCGCAGCGGGTTAAAGCACTGCACTAAGAAGCTTAAGCCACTTCCGCATGAGTTCAATCCCCGCCTGCCCAGGAGGAGACCACATGACGTGGCAGACCTCTCCTGACCCGCCCGCTGCTCCCTTCAGCAGTGTACTTCGTCGATCTGCCTGTTCTGCTCCCCACTCTGGTGAATCCTCTCACCCTCCGCATCTCTGGCCTGTACCCCAGTTCTGTACGAATAAATAAATCTTTTAAAAAAAAAGTATTAAGGATAATTACAACTGAATAAATGAAAATATTTTCTTGAATAACTCATGCATAGTTTCACTTGGAACTTGAATAGCTAACCACTTACTGAGGATGCTGTCACAATAAACCTGTTGCTGGGGACGGTTGTTGACTGTGTTTGAAAACCAACTACATTATTGATCCCATAAATCTAAAAGAATTTCTTACCACCAGTTTTTGTGCAACTTTAGCAAAGACACATCCAAACATGAGGGTATACAGACAAGGATGTTTTTCAAATACATTAGTGGCTGACTTTTTATAGATCATTATTGCCAGTATAATAATAATTCCTATGTGAAGTCCAGGTGACAAGACACTGGTGCCCTAAGGTATAAAGTGGAAAATCAACATGCCATTTTAACACTGCATTTGTTAAAAAAAATACACAATAGCAAGAACGAAGGTTAAAATTTTTACCTTTTAAAATACGTTTCACTGAAATTACAATAAAATTTACTTCATGAACAGTAAATTTCTCTGAAACCTCAATGACCTCTGGCAGCTTGCCAGTCAATCAGGACGTTAGTCCTCTTTCCCTATTTTAGTGCAAGGCACAAGCCAGGAAACAAATGGCTCTTCATGATGCCTGGTAGTGAAACTGGATGGCTGAGTGGCACATCAAGAAAGTCTACTTGGAGAAAGGTGGTAGAAAGAAAAATGGCCTAAGCCATTTTGAAAACACTTCTGTACTATGTGCCTAAAATAATTTTTTTAGGATTGTTAAAAAGTTTGGGTATGGGCAAAATGAAGTAATCAAACTTCTATTAACAAAGTAATGAAGATGTAATGTACAACACAGAAAATACGGTTAATGTATATTTGAAGATTGCTAAGCATGGAATTACAAGTTCTTATCACAAGAAAAAGGTTTATACACAGTTTTTTTTTTTTTTTTTTTGCCTGGGACTATGCAGGTGCCTCTGTCCCCTCTTTCCAAAAAAGATCTTTTAGTAGGAAAAAAAAAAAAGGAAAAAATCCTAAACTACATGTAGTAATGGATAGTAACTAGACTTTAGTAATGAATTCACAATATATATAAGTAACAAACACGATGAATATGTTAACATGTCATATCTAAGAGCCCCAGGAACACCAGTCATGTTCTTTCTGTGGCCCAAAAGAAAAGACCTTTAATTACTTTCCCAGTTCTTGGATTTTGGCATATTTTAAATATGTCTACAGCTTGTGATAAGAAAACAAAATGCATACTAAATGAGAATGAAGTTTAATGTCTTACTGCAATAGTGGATCCATTCTTGCCAACGCCGCCATGGAGGATAACATGGAAATAATTTGAACAGGAAAATATTGCTCCACCCACTACTCCAAGAACTGGAAAGATCTTCAATTTTATTTCTAGAATAGGTATCTTTAGGGATAAAGGAAAGAAATGAATCATTAAGAAAACAATTCCTTTTCCTACTAAATAGTGAAGAAACATGGTATGATACAATAAGCTATCCTTTTTCTTACAATCAAACCTTAACTTCTGGAATGCAGCCTGAGGGAGTAACGTCCTGAATGGTTTCATTAAGTGAAAAAATGAATGTACCAGATTCAGCTAAGTCTTCTTACATAAATGCAATGAAATATTTAATCTTAGAAACTTCATGTGACTTTAAGGAAACATGAAAAAGGATAGTTCACTTGAATGTTTGTTAACCTTTACAAAGCAGCCCCACAGGAAAGTCAAAACACCAGGAGATGCCCCATGAATGTGACAAGTACCACAACATGTGCACATGCAAACATCTGTGGTGTTAATGTCCAGGATGAAATCTCTAGCAATATAGTTACCTGTTGGTCAATTGCTGTTCAAGAAAACTTCCAAGGGCAGCAAAGGATTTAAAAAACAGTAACAATGAATTGCCAAAAGCTGTAGGCTATTGTGTTTTCAAGCTTGAAATACTGTACCAAAATGTGTGGAAACTCCAGCTTAAGCAGCTAAATTTAGAAAGCCTACATTTCAAATGAGTACTGTTGCTGGTGAAAATAAACAGTTGGCTCTCTTCCATGGTACTGCCAATCGCGGAATGAAATTATTTCAAGACTACATTCTCCCCCACATAAGACTTTCACATTTAAGACAATCACATTTGACTTAATGGCCTGAGTCGCCTAACTGCCTTGGAGATGCACACGCATCCCCCCAGCACATCGCACAGGCCTGTTGTGCAGCCCTTGACTCCACTCATTATTCTTACACCATGAGAAGGCATGTTAATGCCTCAGGAACATATCACTACTTAACAATATGTTCAAAGTTCCTCTGGACCTCATGATAGGAACTAACTGGCAAATCTGAAACCAAATGCCACAGGAAAATTTCTGACTTGTTTAATGGTTGGGTAGCTTTAGGTTCTCCGCAGAATTGTACGGGAAGTACAGAGTCCCCATATAATTGCTGGTCCCCCACTCACACCCACTATTAAAGTGACCCCCGAGCAGTACATTTGTTACCATCCATGTGCCTACACTGACATCATTACCACCCAGGCTCGCATTTCCTAGTAGGGTTTGTCTTGGGGATGTACATTCTGTGAGTTTGGATAAATGCTTTGTCTGCTCGTCCCTCCTCTCCTGCGGGTGACCTCTGGCAGTCACTGATCTTTTCAGTTCCCATCATTTTGTCTTTCCGGGAATGCCATATAGCTGGAGTCACTCCATACATAGCATTCAGTATGGTTTCTGTCATGAATTCATGGCACTGAAGCTTTCTCCATGGCTTTTCATGGCTTCGCAGTGCTTTTAAAAGGTGAGTATGTCACGGCCTCAGTGCACCAGTTTACCCATTTACCTACTGTGGGGCACCTTAGTTTTAAAGTTCTCAATTCTGAATCAAACTCTTAGAAACATCCACATTCAGGTTTTTGTCTGGATATGTTTTCAAATTAGGTAGCTATCGGGGAGCACAGCTGCTGGATGCTAGGTGAGGGCGTGTTTAGTTTTGTATCACGCAGTATTGATACTTTTACTGAGGTATGCTGCGTAGTGACTACAAACAGTTCGTGAGCAGGCTGCTTAATTCTAGCTCTGGTTATGTGTCCTGAACAAGCTACGTAATCATTCCCAGACTCATTTAGAAAGCAGAACAATGAGAGTGGCTATTTCATAAGATTGTTCTGAGGGTCAGATGAAACAGCGGTGCTAACACGTTTAGGAACATGGGTGTTGAACACGAGTTTGTTGGCTACTGCAACCCTTATTCTTAACACTGAAGATGTGAGGTGGTGAGTCAGGCAGTGTTTTGGACTTCGATTGTGGACACTAATTTGTTTCTTCATAAATTTTCTTCTTATGCAAACATGAATTTATGACCATGGCCTCCCGAAAGCCCACTCTACTGAAATGCTGAGGTTACCCCACAAGCAGAAAATAAAAGCACGCTGTAATACGGGGAACCAGCTTTTAAAAACACAAGTTAATTTCTTTTTTTTAATATTGAGGGAAACGTTTTCAACACAAATATTCTATTGAATTTACTTTTAAAAATTTATTTTATGTGATAAATTCTGGCCAGGAAAAGGTTGCTCAACTAGGGTGCTAACTTGTAGTAGGGAAGTGCACTGTTTTCATCATGAATTGATATATTTATACATAGAGGAAATGCCGTAATAAGGTATGCAGAGGGTATAGGTTCTAAAGTGAAGCATAAAGGTTAAGAAGAGGAGTAAATATTAAATATAACACGAAGGCTTTCTGGAGAAGGTCACAATGCAATGTTTGTTCCCTTAGTATTTAAAGAAGTTAAATGTATTCAGATTTACCGTATAGTCCCACATGGTTGCTCCTCCAAGTGCAGACAGCACAAAGACCATCACTAAAGCTACTTGAATTTCAGTTACGTCCACTCTGAAGGGAAAGGACAAAGAATAGAAATGGATTTGTAAAGAAAATTCCCAAATAATGGAAGTTAGCCCGAGAGTAAAGAAGCAAAGATCTGAAGACAGCATTTTTACCTTCACTTCCACCACGAAAAATGCCCACAGAACAGAGCTGCGAGCCTCCCAGGCGAGCTTCAGTCTGTGCTCAGGGACAGGCTGATGCAGGGCCAGAAAATGGCTAATAGCCATCATCCCCTAGACCATTTTCTGCTTTACATTCTTTTATGAATTTTTATTCTTTACCATAACTGTATCACTCCCGTCATCAGAAAAAATATATAACATAAAACAGGCAGGTGACTTAAGGCAAATTCTCAAAAACTCTCATGTCAGTTTCACTTAAAAAGCAGGGAAAATTCCAGCAACATTCCTACTCACTAATAGCCACTGTGGTGGTCTCTGGCTTCTGCAGATATTTTTCCACTAATATAAACATGCTTATGTTTCTTTCAAAAAACCACTCATCAAACAAGCAGTCTCTCCAAGCTGCATTCCTGACAGCTATCCACGCTCCTCCTCATTTCATGAACAGGCTAACTAAAAAGTCAACATTTGATTTTCTCCTCTCTTCATACTTGCTGTTTAACCCACTTTACTGGAGTCTTTGACCCCACTATTTTATTAAAATTGTTTAAAGTAGAAAGTGACTTGAATCTGTGGAATTTATAGCTACATTTCAGCTATTACCTAGCATACCTTCACTGCATTATTTTAAATGTCGTCACTCCCTCTTTCCTGAAATGCCTCGCTTTTTTGTTATTTATTCCATACCTCTCCTGATTCTCCTACCTTCTCAAAAGCCCTTGTCAGCCTCCTTCCATGACTGCTTCTCTGTCCAGACCTTAAACTGCTACTATTTCCAGAATTTCTCTTTTTTTAGATCCTCTGAACAGTGTAAGCTGTACCTATGACTGCCATCTATACGCTAATGGCCTCTCAATTCCTATTTCCAAATTTCCTTTTTTTTCCCCTTGAGCTCCAGATTTTTATATCTGCCTACCTACTTTACACCTGTGCAGGGGGAGTCTTTAGATGCTAGAGGAATACTTACACTCTGCAAGCATGAAAAATGTTGGTGTCGGATGATAAAATAAAACCAGACATGGAAGGAAAGACTTCGCAACTGATTCCTTTTGAGGGCAGTTAGGAAGAAAAGGCAAACTGAACATTAACTCACAGATAAGAGAAAAATAAGAAGACTAGCACCCAGCAGCTGCATGAGCAGCATGGGTAAAGGAGGCCTCGGGGAAGCCACCGAGTCAGCTGAAGAGGTAAACCCAACACTGTGCTTGCTACTCTGTGGGAAAGGAGGGGGCGGCCCTAATCTTTACTGAGCGTCCATAGGACTCTGACAAACTACAAATGACATCTATTTTTCAGGGAGGAAAACTAAGGTGGTTTTTCTTTCTTATACATATATACATATATATATTAAAGATTATTTCTTTATGCTTATAAAAACTGAGGTACAGGCCAGAGGTGTGTGGGG